CAGATTCAACCACCACCGTGTGAGCCTTCTTTCCCCACTCCCTTCCCCCTTGCCCAACACAGCAAGATCCAGGCCAACTACCTGACGGGCAGCATGCCGGCAGCGCTGTCGGCGGCCCTCAAGTACCTGGACGCATCAGGGAACTACCTGGTGGGAACGTTCCCCACCACCACCACCACCTACTGCAGCTGCACCAGCATTTGCTTCAAGGACAGCACCAAGATCACCTCGCCCATGGCAACAACTTCAACTTCAACTGGTTCTCTGGGCCCATCCCCTCTGCCCTGGTTGGCATCGCCTCCCTCACATCATTGTGAGACCTCCTTGCAATCTACTTCTCGAAAATTTGCTTCTGCTGCCTCATTGCCCTTTCTGCTTCTACCTCTCTCCCTTTGCCCCACCTCTCACCCTTTCACTCACTTCTCCCCACTCTCAGACGCTCTAACACTCACTCTCTCACTCTACCTTCCCCATCCTCATCTCTACACCAACTCTCCCCCCCCACTCCCCCCACCCCCTTCAGCGGAGCGAGTTACAACTACCTGTACGGCCCCGTGCCCAAGCTCGGTGCTGCCCTCAAGACCATCGACCTGCAGAAGAACTGGCTGTCCGGCACATTCCCCGACACTGGCTTCCTCTCCTGCTCTGCCTCCTCCAACTGCCTCACCAGCACAGGCGCATGCAACACCACAGGCACCACGCAGCGCCCATTGGCTTCTTGCGCCGTCTGTGACTCTCCCACTGGGGCTGATCCCATCTGTGCCGGTGGCACCTGTGCTCCCAACACTGCCACCCCTCTAGCCTCCTCCACCATCCCCACCGCCTCGTCTCCCATTCTCCCACACTCACTGCGCTGTAAGGCCACGGGGGTTGGGGCTCACCACACTCACTACGCTGTAAGGCCTTAGGGATGACTTTATACTTGTCTCCAACCTTCACCTCTTGAGTCGACTCGAGTGGTACCTCACCGCACACACAGATATGCCCAGTGGGGTGTGGCACCTCACTAAACTCACCACACTATAAGGCTTTTGCGTTCGGGGTTTGAGCCAGAGGGGTTATTTTTTCACATATGCCCAGTGGGGTGTGGCACAAGTGACAAGACAGGATTTTCTCTCTGTAGGTATGTAAAGGTGTTGTTCACAACCTGCAATGCACTCATCTCATCCGAATCACATATCACACAGCCCCAACCCAACCGTTCCACTGCACATACAGCATGCACACTCTTTATGGCATTCCCCATCCCTCACCCTAACTCTCTCGGTCCCCCATCCTTCTCCCATAGTTTTCCTTTTCCCAATGATTACCCCCATGTATTCCCCCCACGTGTCCTCCCCATGTGTTCCCATGCACAGCTACCTGTCATCCAACCTCTTTTACCAGCATCTTGACTCCTTTTGTGGCTCATATCCTGCCCACGGCCTCTCTCAAGCAGTTGTAAGTGCAGCTCATGCCCACGGCCTCTCTTGAAACAGCTAAGAGTGCTGTACTGTGTTTATCCAAGCTTAGCGGGTCTGATTTTTTCGGTGCAATACTACATCTCTCCTGTACTACGTGCTGCTGATGCGACCCAGACGGACCTATGTAGGATCAATGATGCAGGGTCGAAGCTTACTGCATAGCCAGGACCCGCCCGTTCATCGCCCCACCCGTTCAACCATTGCCCCACCCATTCATGGACTTCGCTCAGCAACTTCTCAAAAACATCTCTGCAGCATCTTTACTGCTGTTGTGTTGTGGCGCTTTGTCTAGCTCAGTTCCTCATCTCAGGTCTTGCTCACCGTCTCGTGCGTTGCTCTCCATCTGTCACTGGACATCCTCATAACTCCAATCAAATCCCTTCAACTCATGTTTGTCATTGTATTCTTGCGTGCTTGCACGTGTGTGTGGATGTGTGCGTCATGTGTGTGCATGTGTGTATGCTTGTACGTGTCCCACCAAGGCGGTGAGCTTCAACTGGCTCTATGGCTCTGAACCAGGGTCAGCTTTACCGTGTGCACCATCACCTTGTGCACCTGAACCTTGCACAGCGCCACCTCGTGCACGTTCACCACTTGGCGGCTTCATGCCTGGGGGTGCCCATTCCTCGGGCCGGCTGAAACACTTGAACCACGGGTGTCCAGCCTTCTTGCAGTACCAGCACGCTCCATCCATTCGGGTACTCCCCCTGCCACCAGAGCTCCCATGCCCCTCGTTATAGTCACCTCGGCCTCTCCCTCTGCCAAAGCCTCTCCCACGGCCTCGACCTCTCCCTCCCCCTCTTCCTCTGCTGCCTCCTGCAGCTCCATACCCCTCAGCAGTTTTGTTGGCAGCACCACCACCCGTGTGGCGCCTGCGGAAGTCCTCCTGCAGAATCTGCTGCCGTAGCCACTCAGGTGTCCACTGGTCCTGCTGAGTGTTGAGGGTGGGGATGAGGTTGTCCCACGAGTTGTCGAGCACCGAGATGATCTTGGTGCACTGCTGCATCTGCGACACATTGCTGCCCGCCGCTGCCATCCTCGCATAGGTGTCCTTGATCTTGTCAAGGACCGGCTTCACATCATCGCCCGGTCGCATGGAGAGGGCAGCCAGCTACTTCTCCAACACAATCACCATTGGCAGCGTGTTGGGCTGAATCACGTCGCGCAGTAGCTTCCACGCCTTTGGTCCGGAATCATCCAACTCCACCAAATCCTTGATGTGTTGGAACATATAGTTGTTGACCGATTGAAGTATTATGTTGTACAGCACCGCAATCTTCTCAATCCATCGATCGCGGGCATCTCCTTCCTCCGGCATCTTCTCTTCACCCATCGCAAGTTTCAGCAGCTTGTAGCGCTTGAATGCACTCCGCATCCACCCGCTCCATTCCTCATAGTTTGAGCCATCCAATGCCTCGATCTTGGATGGTGGCGGCTCTTTTCTTTTCTCAGCTGCATCTCCACTCCCTTGAATCATTTCCTCTGCTCCCAAACACAGGTTCCAGCTCCTCCTTTGCTGTCCACACCGAAGTCCCATTCAATTTCCACAAGTGTCGGCGCCAACGAAATTTCGGCAGAGTTTCCCCATAGCAGGAGTCACATGCAACCTCCAGAACTCCACTTAGACACGCCCACAGGCCGTGGTGGGTCTAGGAGGGTCTTCAAACTTCATTAGACTCTCCACAAAGTCCGTAATCAGCTCTGATACCACATAGTTAGAGACTAAGAACGGATTCTATGAAGATTAAGGGCCGAAATATCTCGAAATCGTCAACTATAATTCTGGGCAGAAACGTCGTCGTCACAAGAAACGTCGTCGACAAAAAACGCTCTGTCAGAATTCTTTCAAACTCAATTATGTTGTAGCCCTCTACCGTGGCTATCTTTCCCAGTTTGAATAGTATCAAAATATGGATTATAGCTTGAGTTATGAATTTCGGCGCACTAGGGGGTATGCTGCCATAGAAACTTAACTCAATCACAAAGTTGTCTCACAAGTTCACACAAGAAAGTTGGAGTAGCAATTGAACCAGGTAGGAGGGGATGAGGAGGACGAGAGGGAAGGTCCCAAGGGAGTCCCCAAGGAAACCCCATACCACACAATTCCCCTCTCTATAGGCACCCCAACTTTGACATTTGTCACTTTTCCAACTCATGCCATCCACATCACCCAACTTGGCCACACTTGCCAACCTGGTTTGGCTTCTCCCAACCACTTAGCATCATCTACAGTGATGGTGACGAATTTCCCAACCCCCAAAAGTCTGTACCCCATATTGAGTCAACCTGCAAATTCCCATTCTCGCCGCATCTCAATCAAAACTTTGACCGATCATATCTTTCTCGTTCTTGCTCCGATCGCAACGATTCTTGGTTCGTCAGAAAGCTCTTGAGCAGAGGAGTCACTTCAGATATCTGCCCAAGCCAAATAGCATTCACACACACTCAGAAAATCCAAACCATGCCAAACACAGATTCTTGCACACACCACGCATGCAACACACGAACACATGATGGGAGGCAGACAGACGTGAATGCAAATGATAGCATTACATAACACACATTTGAGATTATAGAGCATACGGCATAATAACACGGCCAGTTAACAGCAGAACTTGGTGAAACTTACAGATTCTGGAGCGCCTTGAGGGCAGAGACGAGTGAGAGAAAGTCATCCAGGCGGCGCTGGAAGAAATTGGAGCTCGGATCGCTGCACACATGCATGCACACACATGCGTTCACCCACACGCGCAATGCATGCACACACATGCATGCACACACAGGCGTGTAGACGCATGCGTGCATAGAGATGCACACATCACGCATGCACACATCCATGCACACATGCATGCACACAAATCCGTACACACATACATGCAAACAGAAACATGAATGAAAGAACATGCACATACAATGGCAGAAGAATGTTGAATGGGGCAAGATTGAAGGCAAACGATAGAGCAGAAGAATTTTGAATGTGTAATGGCTGGGTGTGAGCAAAACACATCAGAAAATCAGTTGTAGGTCTTGATAGGGCGTACAGCATGGTGAGGGCTGTGAGCTTGGTGATTTCCGTTGAGAGGCTTCCACTCAGCTTCTGATTTGGTAGCACACTGCGCAGTGAAGCAAACAGAGCGGGAGGGAGAGAAACAAGCAAAAGAGCAAGAAATATTGGCCGGGTTTCCAGTCAATCCAATATTCATCAAGCTCCAGTGGCAACAATTGACACACGCTCCACAGCACAGCAGCATGCGAAATCACTGTAGCACGGCAAAGCACAGCAGCATGGCAGCACTCACATGCCCACAACAGCCCCGTGAAGCTGATGTAGACGCCGGTCCATGCGCCTGGCCCAGGAGTCTGCCCCTCCAACGTGCACGTGCCCAGAGACCCTGCCAGCGGCACACTACTGCTGCTGCATGGTAGCGACTTGGATGAGGTGGGGCTGGAGAGCATGAGCAACGGCAGGGTGGCAGTCCACATCACAATTAAAACAGCATTTTCTCACTCGTGGCTTCTTGCAGCACTCACACACTCATGACGGCCCCAGAAGTGGAGCAGCGCACGCCATTCCAGGTGTTTGCAAGGCTGATGGCGCCACCACCGGTGCTGCAGGAAGAGGCAGCGACCCAGGTGGAGTCGGTGACTCCCAAAGATGACTTGATGCTCAGTAGAGCCGATGCTGGGATGGGGCGAGATGGGGGGAGATGGTGGTGAGGAGGAGCAGGAGGAGGAGGAGGAGGAGGAGGAGGAGGAGGAGGAGGAGGAGAAGGAAGAGGAGGAGGAGGAGGAGGAGGAAGAAGAAGAGAAAGAGGATTGGAACAGAGAAGAGAGAGTTAGAAGGGTGTGTGAGCTTGGAATGGGGTTTGTGGATGAACACGCTTGGGACATTTGAAAACGGAGAAGGGGGAAAGGGGGGTCTGTGCAAAGAGGATGAAACTTTGGTGGGTGCAGGAGAAACAAAGGGGTGAGGAATGCAGTAGAATGGTAAGGTGTGCTTGTAGAAGAGAATGTTCACCTGAGGCAGTATCCATCACGACCACAGGCGAATCTGTACAGCCACACAAGTGGGTAAAGCCACACAAAGGGGTACAGCCACACACACGGATACATCACAGGCATACAGTCACACACAGGTTCACGGTCACGGGAAAGCACACGCACAGAGAAGGACAGATGCACAGAGAGGAGAGAGGATTTGAGGTACTACTGGAGCAGCCCGAAAGTTGAAATACAAATGGGATATTCCAACCAGCCAGCCAGCTTCCTGTGTGTGTGCAACGCAGCAGCCATCCAGAAGAAGGATGCATGAAAGGCCTTGCGTGGAATGGACGAGAGCAGAGCAGGAACGGCATTGCGCCACACCAGGAGTAGCATGGTCCTCCTTGGCTCCACGCTACTCTGACATCACGAAAGCTACGCCCCTATCTGCTAGTGCCGGCCAAAACACACTCACCAAGGCACTTCATGGGGAGCATGGGCAGAGTGGGGGAGTTGATAGTCCCCTCACTGACTGCATCAGCACTGTCAGGGCTTCACAGCCCACCATAGCACAGCTCCCCCTGGCCGTCGTCGGACCCGCAGATGGCACAGGCAGAGGCGGGGCGCTCCAGCAGACCGGAGGAGCGACAGTAGGAGGAGAGGAAGCAGTTGTGGTCCGCCAAACAGCTCTTGAGAGAGAGCTGGGGGAAGGAGCCCGAGAGGAAGTTACAGCCCATGTCCAGAGCGACCAGGGAGGTGGAGGGGATGGGCATGGTGCCCGTGAGGTAGTTGGAGAAGAGGCCTCTGGGGGAGGGAGCAAACACAGGCACGAGGTGGGAAAGGAAGGGCGAACAAACACGATGTGAGTGAGAAGAGAGTTGTCAAGGAGCAAGGGCCGAGAGTGGGCAAAGGGCAAGGGGTCATCAACGAGGCTTGTGCAAGCAACCATGGATATTTGAAGCTTTGTGTGCTGCTTACAGTGTCGTGAGATTTGGCAACGAGGCGATGAAGGAGGGAATGGATCCGGCAAACCAGTTGTAGTGGAAAAATCTGAAGGGGAGTGTGGGGGAGGAGATGAAATCGAAGGAGAGTGGCGGGACATGAGAGGTAAAACAAAAGGGAAAATGCCTTCAGAAATTGTATATAAAAGGGCAGACGTATGTCGTAACAAGAAGTTACTAGGGAGCAACCAGGTAGCATATTTCATGATTTGAGGCGCCTCAATATTAGGCGCCATCAAACATGAGGTGCTCACAGCAAAAGAAGGAACGTGAGCTTACAGAGTGAAAGAGAAACTAGTGGTTGGTTTGGTACTCACAGCGCCTTGAGGCTGGGCACGGTCTTAAATGGCGCAGATAACGAGTCAAGGCGGCCTTGGAAGAGGTTGTAGCCAAAGTAACTAGGGCGGGGGGCAAGGTTAGAGTTAGGAATCGGAGAGATTTGGGAAGATTGATTTGTGTGCAGTGCAATATATTAGGAATCCTGAGAAATAATGTCCACATATTTCGCATGGGTAGCAGAGAGTTTGCCATCCGACCTGAACACAACACTACCTTGGCGATAAAACATGGCTCTGCATTACGAGCAGTACACTTCCCACTCGAGCCTTACAGGTAAGTGAGCGCGGTGAGCATGGAGATGTCTGCATGAATAGACCCCTTCAAACTCTGACGTGCCAGTGAGCTGAGGGGAGTGTTAAGAGAGTCAGGGGGGAGGGTTTGAGGAAGGTGAGGGAGGCACGCAAGGAGGCTATCATTAGGGATGGGGGAAACGGTGAATAAATTAGAAACCTTTTCATAATTGTAACAGCCCGCACATGAACGTTAGGATTGCAGGAAATAATTCATCTGAAAGCATTTGAAGGATGTCGCCAGTAGCCAAGTTATCGCATGCATGGTTGAATTGAATCATGGGTGCTCACATGGAAAGCACGTCCCCGGTATCACCACAGAGCACGTCGGACCACGTGGCCTGTGTGACAGCCTGGTTTCCAGCCACTTGGCATGGCACACTTGCTTCCCACGAGGTGAACGTCGCTCCCAGTGATGCCTTGAGCGACAGCAGTGCTGGCGAAAGGGAGGGCGGGGCGAGGGGAGGGGTAAGTGTAGGGGTGGGAGGAAATAGAGTAGCAGGGCCCAGAGTGGAGAGTTGGAAGGGGGGGAAAGAAGTACAAGGATTAGGAGAGATGTGGAGAGAACGAAATTGGAAATTATCGAGAAGAGAAACCACGAAAAAACAATGTGGTGCATGGATGACAATGCAAGACAAGGAGCACCCTCCACACACCTGCAGCACTGGTAGATGTCACGGCAGTTAGAGGACCGCCTGCACAGTAGGCCACAGGGAGGTTTCGGCCATACAGAGAGGGTAGGTGGGTGAGTGGATCACTGATCATCATCATCATCGTCATCATCATCATCATCATCATCATCATCATAATCACAGAAAAAGCCAAAAGGGTGAATGCATATGGAAAACAACTTCACATACCACACAGAATGCACCACGTTCATTCATTTATGCGAGAATCCAAGTCCAAGACACACTTAAGCCTTTTGCACCAACGATAGGTGATGTGGCTAAGGAGGGTGTGGAACCCACTTGAAGGTTTAAGGCATGTTACCCGAGCAGAGAAAGGGTAGGACACGCTGGAACTCTTGTGAATTCACTCTGCCGGCTGCAATGTTAGCAGCAGCAGAGACCACGCACTCCCCACCGGCGCCCCAGAAAAAGGGAGCGACGGCATCGGTAGTGCCACAGATGGCGCACGCAGCAGCGGATCGTTGGGTGGTCCCGGCATTGGAGCACTTGGAGGGATCGAAAAGGCTGCAAGAACGGCCATTGCAATAGTCGAGTGAATGGGTGGCGATGCTCGTAATGTAGTTGTTCCGGAATTTGAGCTGATTCAAGGCTGTGGCCATGGCTGGGATGCTACCAGTGGGGAAGTTGTAACTGATCCCTCTGAGGAGAGTGGGAGTGAGTTATGTGACGAGGGGTTGTGTATGAGGGCGGGGGAGATAAGAAGCACAGTTGAGAGAAGAGAAAGGGTCTGAAAGACTTGGACTGAAAGGTATGGCATGATGCTACTTACAGAAATGTGAGTGCTGGTAGATTCGCGAGGTACGAAGGGACTGAGCCGTAGAGATAGTTGCCATCTATTGATCTTCCAAGTGAAGGGCGGGAGAGTTGGTGGTCGTAGTTGATGACAATCAGGCTCACGAAGCGCGGCTTGCTGGGATTGAACCTGCTCGTATTGTGACTCAAATTCAAGCAGAAAACTCTCCTTCCAGTTAAATGCATTGCCCCGTCCATCCCCTTAACTATGCAGCATGGCTACTGCTTGTTGAGATGTGAAATCAATGTGCCAGGTCATTTTGCTCCTGTTGCAGCCAAGTGCATGGATTCTTACACCTTCAACGGCCATGTTGTTCATTTTACAGTACTCAAATTAGAGGCTCGAATGCTTGTGACCACTCACATGCTCTTGACTGCTCACATGCTCTGTAGAGGTGTACACCCCTTGAGGCTGGTGGCGAAGTCTTCCAAGCGGCCGGTGAGAAGATTATAAGAAAGCATTTTGATAGAGGGCAGGCGGATGGTAGCACAGGGAGTACATGCATGGCATGGCATGGCAACACATGGCATGACGTGGCATGAGATAAGAGCATGATAGCAGAAGGCAGCAGAGGGATTGGAACAGCACGCAGAGATACTTCCATGTTTGTACAAGTTTGAGGGGAAAGAGAGGAACTCACAGAGTCGTGAGGCCAGTGAGCTTGGATATGTCAGCAGGCACGACAGTGGCCTTCAAGAACATCGACACAAACTTGCTGCAGACAAGTGCATGTGGTAGAACGGACAGGGAGCAGTGAGACAAAATACAGTCATATGGATGGATTGATGCATGGATGAGGAGCGACGAGTGGGGCAACCCATTGGATTGGCATGCCTCAAGTTTTGGAACACCTGTAGAGTCATGATTTCTTGAAATGCTCACACAGGCGTGACGTGTGCTCTTCAAGCACTTACAGTGTTGCGGGTGATCTGTCAATGGAGCAATCAACACGAAACCAGGTGGTGACTCCTGCCTGCATACCTCCAGCGCCCGCGATGCATATAGAGGAGGCAGCCCAATCCGTGAACGTCAAACCCAGGGACGACTTGATGGATAGCATCGTGGACATTGAATGGAGAGAATGGGGAGGGAGGCTGGGTTAAGCACGATTTGGGGAGGGGTTGAAAGTGCACCACCACACAGAGTTCCCTGCCCGTTGGTCGTGCCGCAGATGGCGCAGGCAGCGGCGGGGAGCTGCAGTGTGCCGTAGGTGTGGCAGTAGGAGGAGTTGAGGAAGCAATTCTGGTCGGCCGCACAAACCGCGAGGGTGAGCTGGGGGAAGGAGCCCGAGAGGAAGTTAAAGCCCACGTCCAGAGTGACCAAGGAGGTGGAGGGGATAGGCATGGTGCCCGTGAGGTAGTTGGAGAAGAGGCCTCTGGGAAAAGTGTGGGGGGGAGGAGGGTGGAGAGAGAGGGGTGAGAGGGGAGTAGGTGTGAGTCATGAGAGCAAGACAGAAGCGATATGTGACAAAGATAAGGGAACCAAACCGCAGTTAGGCATGAGAAGAATGGCCTACAACAAGGCTTCTGCATGTGTTTGGCAGAGAGGCAATGACGAGCCTCAAACCCTTTGGGTCTAACAAGGTTCGGGTTGAACGGAACCGGTTCTGTTTGACCGTGAGAGCAGTTCAACGAAGTTGGGACCAAACCTGTTTGGGTTCGGTTTGTGCTCATTTTCAATGCTAGTATGGCTTACAGTGTGGTGAGCTATGGCAGAGAAGCAATGGTGGAGGGAATGGATCCATCAAACCAGTTGTAGCTGAGAAAGCTGGGGGGGGGAGGTGCAGGAATGCAGCAGGAGGGAAGAGAATGTGAGTTTATTGAAGAACGCATATTGAGGATGGCGAGAGGAAGCGTTGCACAATGATGCCGCAATTGGAGTTCTGCACAGCTTGTATATCATACACATACGATGATGAGAACGTCTTTACAGGCCTTATAGAGGAGAAGGTACTCACAGCGCCTTTAGAGTGGTCATGGCGTTGATTGGTGTGGCAAACCCCCCGAGACTGCCTCAAAAAAGGTTGTAGCCAAGATCCCTGAAGCAGGAGGGGTTGAAATTAAGCTTTGTGAATAATGCATCCATAAGGTTTCTTACGCAATCTGGCCTGGAGAGAGAGATGCTACATCACATTAGCAGCATGATTCACCCATTCTTCTGCAGATGCACACATGCATGCAGATTCACACTATGGACATGTCATGAGAGCAAAACAGAATGTCCGTCCATATCGCTTCCCAACTTTCTTACTCCATGCCATTGACCCCTGCAGCAGCAGCAGTTGTGAACGAGAAACGTTTTTCCCTTGACAATTACAATCACTCTACAATTAGGCATTTCCCGTTGCAGTGCAGCCTACCTGTATGTGCCGTACAGGCTCCTATTTGTGCATTCCCTGATTCACCATTACAAGTAACTGAGCGTGGTGAGTTTGGAGATGTCCGAATGAATAGACCCCTTCAAGCTCTGACGCGCCACCGAGCTGTACAGGGGTGATGGGGGAGGCAGAGAGATGGCTGTGCGGGTGATAGAGGCTGGCTGAAAGGTCAGCAGTCGGTTGTTCCTGTCCCTCCTCTTTTTTGTTGTCTCCATCTAGCTTGAAAAAATTGCTGTGAATAGTACTCGACTCTGTGAGGCAAAGTCACAATGAGTTGGGACGATTGGTATTCGATTATGCTCCACGCGGTTTCCACCCAATACCCAACCAATGCCCCATAGACCCACTGCCCCATTGCCTCCCTACCCAGCTGCCCTGCTGCCGACACACATTGACTCCACCGAGCTGGCGAGATTGCAGAACACGCCAGTCCACTCGTTTTGGAGGGGCATTAACTTCCCGGTGAGGCGGCAGGGGTTCGTGGAGGCCCACGTGGTGAGGGTCACACCCAGAGCAGTCTTCAACGCCATCATTGCATTGGCTGCCAAGAGGTGGGGGAGGGTCTGGTGGATAAAGTGGGGAGCACGATTGATAGAGTGAGACGCGAGAAAAATTGCATTAGTGCAAGGGTGCAAGAGTGCAACGGTGTGGGAGTATGAGTGCACAAGTGTGCAAGAGTGTTGTGTTAGTGGTGTGAGAGTGCATTGATATGTGCATGCAAGAGTACAAGATTACCAGAGTGCAAGAGGAAAGAATGCAAGAGTGAAAAACTGCAAAAAATGCAAGACAGAAAGATTGCAAGAGCGCAAGACTGCAACAGTGCAAGAGTGCAAGGGTGCAGGAGCACAAGATAGTAAGTGCGGTGGCAGCAGATTAACTGGGCAACGTGTGGCGCACTCACCCTGAGTAGCTTCAATGAGAAGGCCGCTATAGACTTTACACCTCTGTCCCAAGTCTGGAACCATGTAATTTATAGTCTTGGCGGAAATTCTCGCATCATCATCCGGCTCGCACAACTGCCCCGGTATACACAGCGTGCCGGTGCCATCAGTGCTGCCGCAAATGGCACAGGCGGCACTCGTACGCTGAAAGGAACCTACTCCGCCGGCAAGGCACGTGCCGACGAGCTAAGGCAGTTGTTGCTGCACGTGCATGTGGTCCAGGTGGCGGACGGCAGAGAGCCAACGAGGTAATTGTTGCCTATTATGAGTGACTTAATCTTGGTGACGGTGGATGGTAGGGAGCCCGTGAGGTAGTTAGCTGAGAGGTCCCTGTGCGGGTGAGTTGGAGAGGGAGGGTTTGGGGTTTGTGAACGCGGGAAGATTGTAATAGCAGTGATCTGGGGTGTGGGGGGGAGCAGCGGGGGGGAGGGGGGGGGGGATGGGGGGAGGGTTGTGGGAGAGAAGAGGTGAGGGAGCAAGGATATGGGGAGGAAGAGAGATGGGGGGAGGCGGGGGAGATGAAGGGAAGACGGGGGATGGCATAAAGGTCCAGAAAACTTGAAACGAATGGATAAGTGAACAGCATTGGCACTATACATACAGAGCAGTAAGGCTTGTTGAGTCTAGGAGGAAGCTTGGGAACTGTCCAGAGAAATACATACTGGACATGGTCCTGTCAAGGACAACAAGGAAACAGTTGCAAATTGATGAAAGGGCGCACCGTAACAAGGAAAGAAGAAACCAATATGGATGGACGGAAGGAACAGGGAGGGAGGGAGGGAGGGAGGGAGAGAGGGAGGGAGGGAGGAAGGAGGGAGGGAGGGAGGGAGGGAGGGAGGGAGGGAGGGAGAGAGGGAGGGAGGGAGGGAGGGGGAGAGGGAGTGGGGGAGGGAGGGAGGGAGGGAGGGAGGGAGGTGGGGAGGAGGGAAGGGAGGAGGGGAGGGAGGGAGGGAGGGAGGGAGGGGGGAAAGGAGGAAGAAGGGGGGGAGGGAGGGAAAGAGGGAGCAGGGCTGAAAATTGCGGTCAGGGAAATCTTCGCTGAGAAAAAAACGATGGATGGACGGACGGACGGATGGACGGATGGATGGATGGATGGATGGGTGGGTGGATGGATGGATGGATGGATGGATGGATGGATGGATGGATGGATGGATGGATGGATGGATGGATGGATGGTTGGATGGATGGATGGATGGTTGGATGGATGGATGGATGGATGGATGGATGGATGGATGGATGGATGGATGGATGCATGGATGGATAGATGGATGCATGGATTGATGGATGGATGGATGGATGGTTGGTTGTAGACTTGTAGGGCAGCAGTAGAGCATGGACAATAGCAGCCACGGATGCTCACAAGCTTTGGAGGGCGGAGAGGCCAGTGAGATACTTGAGGTAAATCTTGATGTTGCCATCCAGCAGGTTTCTATACATCGATCTGCAAGCAAGACCGTGGCAGAAACAGGTCTCAGGCCAAAACAATGTCTAGGATCAGTACATTGTATCATCGAGGGGGCAAAAGCATCGTAAAGGTTGTCTACTCACAAAAACGTGAGCGCCGAGAGTACGGTCAATTCGCTGGGGAGGTCCTTGCGGACTATCGAGAGCATAGTCAAATCCCTGTCAGCAACTCACGTACACAAATCCGAATCGGGCCACCACCCGCATGCTCACACGCGCTCACACACGCATGCACGCACGCACGCACTCACACACACACACATACACACACGTATACACACACACACCCCCACACACACACACATACATTCATACACACACACACACCCCCCCCCACATACACACACATACACACACACACACATTCATACACACACACACATACACACTCACACACACACACCAAAATTAGGCCGCGGTTATTGATCAAAAAGAGAAAGCAACTGCTTAAGGGCTAGTCAGACATGAACGACAGAAAGCACGCAGCCGAGAGCACAGCAGTGCCCGGCTTGCAGTCACGTCCCCGACACTGGAGCAGGAGATTTTCTCCCAATCGGTTGTCGCGATCGCCGCAAGAGGGACAACGCAGTTGGGGCTAGTAGTCAGTGACCACTTGGTGAACGTCAAACCCAACGCGGACTTTATGGCTAACAGCGCTGACACTGCAAGAGGGCGGCGGGTGGCAGTGGGAAATTCCGCGGTTAGGGATGACAGCTACATCCGAAAAATCACCACCCCGAAATGCTACGCAAAACATACTTTCGGGAGAGAATTGCTCCAGTGCCTTGTTTGGTGATTCGCTCTTGCCCACGTGTCCCCGAATTGCTCGAGTGGCCATCGAATTCAGTGATAATTGCTCGAGTGGCCACGCCAGGGCATTTTCGAGGGGTTTTTTTTCTCCGGCACATTACCCTACCAGCATTTGTATCCCCGAAATTCCTCGTTCGCACGAGTCTCATCCCGCGGTAGTGATTTGTATTATTCCCCACCCGAAAATTTCGGGTGGTTGGCGGGCGCGAACGTGGCCCGACCAACAGTATATGCGCGGCCATTTTTGCCCCAATGCGCGACCAATGAGCGCGCGGGCAAACAAATTCGTAACCAAAAAGCGCTCGAGCATATAAATCCGCGATCATAAACCTCAATTGACCATCATCAAACCGCAACAGCCCTAACAACCGCGCATGATTCGTCAATGATATGCTCGGTGCAATTGTTGGCAGTACACGTCCAATTAGGTGCCATCGTTAAGTATTGCGACCATATTTGACCGCGCAAATGAAACTCAATTTACTTTATGATCTCGCCAATCATATGCTAAAAACACTCGCACAAACATAAACTCTGGCCAATTAGGTTCAAATTAAAACGCTCATGATCAGATGGATGCAAGATTACATTCCATGTACCATTTAAACAGCAACGGCTTAAACATGTCAAGCTCTATGCATGTGTATGCTGAGTCCTAAACATTGATTTGGAGTTTACGTTGCAAGCCGTTTCAACATTTATTGTGTTTTGTGAGCAAGGAAGGTTTCGATGATGTCGTCAGCCGCCCCTGCACACGTTGAGCAAACGGTGACATGAGTAGTAAGCAAGGTTAGAAATTTGATGGTTCTAATGATAAGCAATGATGTTAAAATCATACATCTCACCAGCTGCTGGCTCGCTTGCCAGTGCGGAGCCGTGAGACGGGGGGGTGGGATTGTTGGGTGAAGTCGACATGCTCAAGCTGTGCTGTGAATCTGTCATGCCAGCTAATGGATGTGCCATGCTGGGTGCAACGGCTGGTGGTGTGGATAGGACATGCGGATGGGGTGCCGTGTTTTGTGCTGCGGAATGGCCTGCAGGGTTGGGAGCAATGGGTGCTGAAGGGGCTGGGTGTACGGAGATAGGGGCTTGCACCTGGCTGAATGGATGGATAGGGATTTGGTTGAATGCAAACTGCTGGGATGGAAAATGGAGTTTGGGAGGAGGGTGTCTGTGGGTGTACGGCTGCCATCCACCAGGGTTTAGGGTTGCACCTGCGTGTCCCGCGAAGGTGGCGGCTGGCGGGTGGTAGTTGCCAAACGTGGCTCCAGGGTGCTGATGGGATAAGAGAGGTGGAGCCTGTGTGTGAACTCCTGCTGGCGCTGGGGTGGAAGGCTCAGGGAGGCTGCTGAGCACTTCACGCCAGTTCCTCCACTCTGCCCACC